TTAGTGTTACTGACATAATAAAGGTCTGTGACCAATATCAAAATTTTCGTATGTTATTTTTTACCACTTTTGCAATAAAGTATAAAATATAGTTTATTATATGAAAACTTTAATAACTTACAACTTCACTTACTGCGTTATCAGGGCTGGGTTCCAAAATTCACTTTTTTTCTTTTGTAATTATTTTAAAAATAAGGCAATATAATTGAGATTTCTTATAGCAGTTGCGTTAAAAAAAGTTTAAGGAAGGTTCTAGTACATTTTATATTGCAAAATTAAATAAAATAGACTTTTTTATTGAAATATTTCAAAATCTCAACCCATTTCATTCAAAGTATTGTTAAAAAAAACGATGTAATAGAATAGAATAGAATAGAAATTTCACCTTAGAATGGAGATAAGGGGACTTATATTGCACAATGGTGTAAAATAATTTTGTAATAAGCGAATCAGTAACACAAACGATTGAAAAACGTTTAACATGTTTTTTAAACGTTTGTGTTCTTACTGGGAATATTCTCGATATTTTAATATACGAGTACTTACTGTGTTTTTAATAAAATGGAGAAAGTGTGGATTTTAATTTTTATTAAACTAAAATAGGTCTGGGTGCAAATTATAAACTTGAGAGTGACAGATTGTTGATTTCTATTGGGACGTCATGTGTATATTATCGGATTTTCTAAATTAATAATCTTTTGCACTTCCAAGATATATTGCTATAAACAAAATAGTCAAAGGCCAAATAAAGTTGAACATGGAAATACGACTACACAATGATTGTAAATCCAATAGCTATTGTCACATTTAAGTATTTCATGTGTGCGCCATATTGTTGAAACAAATCTGATATTTATGTAAAGAGCACGAAGCTGAGTGAGTATAGTGAGTATGCCAAATTATATTCTGCCCGATTTCTACATAATATTATTATTTTCACTCAAAACATTTAAGAGTCTACCTTTTCCAGTTCCGAAATCAAACCGAAAACATGTCCACCACTGGGCATCTGAAAACCCTCGAAGTATTCGTCCAGTTTGATTTTCATGTCGCCAATTGATACACGTGTGGTGGCATTTAGCATTAATTATTATTGGACCAATTTTTTTCGGAAGAATACGGCTGCAAGAAATTTTAAAGTTTTGGCGAAGGTGCCAATGCTACACATTAACACTTGTAGGACGCGATAGAGTATTTTTTAGTTTTGAAACTAGAATTTTATTACATACTGAATATTACTAGGGACGAGTAAATGTTGAATTCTTGGATTTGATTGATTTACCTATTTATTTCAGTTCACTTTAACAATACAGCCTACTACATAGGTCCTAGCATAATATACTGTCAAACTAAGACTTAATATCACCTCTGTCTTTCATAGTTTATTCAGAATCTGTCGAGAAAACTATTATGTTCGAAACAGTTCCGGAGTTATCCCGGAAAGCCAATTAGGTAATTTTGTCAATTTCAAATAACTATTTTCGACCTGTGGAATTGTAGAATTGTAATGCTATCGAATGTTGTTGAAGTTCTATTTTAATTTTATATTGTTTTATCATCACATATCTAGTTATTTGTTTGTTCTTAATCAGAAAAGAATGACTGAATATATATAATTTGTCGATATTGATCGAGCAAAAATCCTATAATCAATTAAGGGTCTTCTCGGTCTCAGACAAATTTGAACTTTACCTCTACCGGTTTGTCTTGAAAAGTTTTAGTTTCACTGCGTTTTTTACATTCCAACCCAGGCAACTTTATACATATTACCGCGAACAACCGATTTAATTTTGCATAAATTTAAAGTTCTGTACGTGCGTTTTGCGGCATTGTTATTAAGTAAACTGTTTAAAAATACAAGCCATTTGAACAATTTCACGGATCGGTAAAGTAAATTTTGTGAAAGCTAAATTAGAACGGAAAACGTAACAGCCGAGACTGAATAGATAAATAAAACTTTCAGAAGGCCTAGCGTACACCTAATTAATGAAATAGTGAAACTGAGGCGCGAGGCATAAAAAGCCGGGCGAGCTGAAAGCTATTCACTTTGTCCATTAATTTAGAACTCACTGCTAGCTGACTTTAAGTTCAATTTTAAAGTGAATTTCTACCTCTCGCTTGCACTATAATGGACAGGGTATAGTCCGGGACGTTGAGGTCCATTTTGAGTAATGTTTTTATTCCACTAAAGGCGCTAGATTATTACTTTAACTCCCTCGATAAGTTTGGGTTGAAAACTATAGTGAATGTCAGTCAGCTGACGCCCCTGTGGTGGGGGTGGCTGAGGGTGTCTGTGAAACTTGTTAAACGTTTTTTTAAAGTCATTCTAGCTTCAAATAGGGTCTGAGATCATATCGACCCATTAGACATTAGAATCGAAATAGAGTCGTGCATTTAAAGGACTTTCTTCATTTTCTAAAGCATCAACTACCAGAACAGGAATATTCCTGTTTACCTATTTAATTCTAAACAAAACTTTAGACATAAACATGACAAAAATTTAAGCCTTCTTCTAGAAATGTGACTATTAATAAAGAATTGTTCGAAATGCCTTAATTACTGTTAGGCAGTAATAAAGACTACATTATCAAAATACTGTACGAATTTGTTATTTAAAGGTTTTATTCTTAACCTAAACCTAGTTGTAAGAATTTGCAATAGATTACCTTACCTTTTTTATAAAAAATAATTTGATTTTGTCTGAAGTGCATTTTTAGTTAAATATCTGATGGCGGCGTTTTCTACTACTAAAATTTATATATATTTTACCCCAGATACCACTGTAATATAACAGATTACCAACAAGTAATTTCAAGATCCTTACCCTAGTCTTGAAGGGGAAATTAAATGGATTACCTTACCTAAAACAAAAAAACAAACTATATTGTCCTGTTTTCAATAAATAATTCAAGATTTTAATAATTTTAACCCCCTATAACATGGGAGACCAATACAATATATCATGACATTTCGTAAAATAGTATATTAAAGTATAAGTGGATAAGTGGATAAGTGGGGAATGTGGTCCGATGACTTGTTCAGTTCAAGTCCTATCAGCGTATCAAGCAACGCTGGTCGCGGTTAGTACTTGGATGGGTGACCGGTATCACATTCTATACACTGTGTCCACGATGATAGTTTAGTAGGTGACGCTCCGAGTGAGAGTCGGAGATTACTTAACTGGCTTCATCGGGCGGGTTCGACTCCCGCCTAAATAGTTGACACCCGTTCAGGGAGTGGTTGTGTGTCCTGTGTTTTCTATATGTGTACCCTCCCTCAACATAAGATTGGAAAGAATCTTCAAGAGGAGGATGTCGATTTCTGTGTGCGTGCCCAAATTTTATATTAAGGTGTTTATTTCGAGCACTCCGGCTGCGCCGTCGTGCTCGAAACTCGCGCGTGTTTTAAAGACCAATTATCCACAAATACTTTACGTTATTTTTTTTTATTGGTGGGTCCACTTTAAAATCATAAATATTGGTATTAATACTACAAAAAATGGAAGTAAGAACTAATAATGTCAAATAAATGATTAAATTCGTGATGTGACATCAGTATACCTTTGGCTGTCATCGAAATGAGAAAAACCAAAATTAATTTGCAATCTGTCATTACTTTTCATATTTATTTAAGAAATTAAGATGTTGAATATTTAAATAAAGCTTGTAAAACATTTGTTACCTTGTTAGTACTATTTTATTTGACGTTACAAGTCAGATTAATAATAAAAAATTTTACATTTACACCTCACGTTTCTCGGGGTTTTGAAGTTGCCATGGTAACTTTAAACCACGCGCGTTTTTAAAAGTTGGATTTAAACACGCTGAGGCGTGCTTTAAATAAGCAAAATAGGGTACCAATAAAAAAAATAATATTTAGGTTGGACTCTATTAAAGCAAACAAGTTTCTTAAAAATGTCTTTCAAGAATTTCCTCCATAATATGTAGCTTGAATTTGCATCGCGTTTAATAATGTAGGTATATGATACAGTGTTTAATGATTTGGTGCCTTCTATACATTTTTTTGTTTTGAATTTGGCACTTGATTCCTTCCTGAAAACTTCATCCAACGATAAAAAAAACACCGACACTTATTTTTACGAAAATTTATATTATTTTGAATCCCTTGTGTTTTTCTGATAGCATTTAATAATAAACATATATTTTTTATAACGTTTCTGTTATAAAACATCGAGCAAAAACACTTGTGATACTTCAAACCTTTTTTCTACGTTAACAAGATCCATACTTGTAGAACCAAGGAGTACCGACCTAATTTTTATAATCATACAGCTGTAAGTATATTTCAAATATACGCGCCGTGCATATTTTAATCATCTACATTCATACAAAATCGCTTTAATTAAACAGCGTTCTTTGTATTAAAATTTTTTTCACCCATTTCGTTCACCCTGCCGCATTACGGAAAAACAGAGCATCTTCATTTTCTATTGTTGCCATGAGGGCGGAGTGTGATACTAATCCTATTCACTTCTCTCCTGCTTTTTATGATCCTAGTTAGGTAAAAACTGGTTTGTTATTTCGAGCCTGCCTTTCCAAGGGTTTCCTAATTTACATGCCATTTGTATAGTCCCATTTGGGGCACTAAAAATTTAGGTATATAGATTTTAGCAAACTATACTGGTTAAATGGTAACCCAAAATTTTTTATTTTTCTATTACCTTTAAGTTAGTCCTATTTCATAAAACGCCTAGGCATATCGTTTTATGTGGCTATCCTTCCCTCATATTATTGTGCTTCGCCAAAAATTATTGTGGTTGGTGATAATAATATTAATTTATTTAAGCATAGAAATCTACTTGGTGAATATCTATTCTTATGGATTCAATCAGCCCATTGATGAGCCTAGAAAACGCAATTTTATATTTACACACTTATTTACACTTTTTTTTTTAAATGCCTTTATTTTAACGTGGGCGAGATTTAGCTGTCAGCTACTCCACCACCTAACCCACGGAGAGATCTGAGCCAGTGAAAATTCGCGCCAGCCGCTGCAGGGATTGAACCTACAATCTCCTGCTTGCGAGCCGACGCCGACGCCTTTACCAACTGAGCTACAGACCCCTACAGTGACTAGTTCGTCTCTATGGGTCGTTTAGGACAAATTTTCGTTACATTTCAATTATTGATATTTAATTTTAAATTGTGGTTTTGTGATGAAGTGCATCCAAATCGTCGTTAATATGGGTGCATGCAACATCAACAAGGTTGGGGTTAAAAGAAAACTGTACTTGCATATCGTCTGTAAAAGTTTGTGTCTTGGAGTGTTTAACAACGGTGAATATATCAGTCGTATATACAAAGAATAACACAGGTCCCAAAACTGAACCTTGTGGAATGCCAAATGTTATGACCGAAGTGTTAGAATACGAGTAATCTTTAAGACACTAGGATACGATCTGAAAAATGTTAAAACGGTAGATTGGCATTCGTAATATTTCATGATCTAATAAACCATAATAGTACAATTACGTTTACCCAGTTCTAATTATTCTATAGGTAAATGGCAATTTAACATTTGTATAAGCTACTTAAGATATGGCTTCCAAAACTGTTAAATCCAATTTCTCAGCTTTATACTGCTCTTAAGGAAACTTGAACGAAAAGAGAAAACGACAGAGAGAAGTATTGAAATACATTTCCAAGTGAGCAATCCGAAACCGAAGCGGACATGTTTACATCGCTAAATATTTTCCCAAGTCTAGAGCCTTCAAATGCAGAGTAAACATGGCGAACAAATCTCCAACCAGTTAGCTTAAAGTTTACTTATATATGTCTTTCATTGATTCTGTTTTGCTCTGAACGCTTTACTTCGTTGCCGTTGTTTATGTTTTGGAAAATATTTATTCTCATTCACGTCACGTGCTATGTAAAAATTATTTTGCGTGTTTACAAGTTACGATGTTGCAATAGCGGATTTCTATTATTATTCACGTAGGAACCGGGGGCTATTTATTTAGCTTCCCTGCTTTAATTGAAATCCCCGGGGCTTTTTGAAGTTTTCTGTTGATTTTTAAGTTATTTTTCATGTTTCTTTAAAATAGAATGACCTGAATAAGGCAATATAGACGCCATACATTGCAACAAAATGGCATTAAACTGTGTATCACATCCTGGATGGTTGTTTTATGTATGTATAGATACCAAATTCACATACAATAAGTAGAGCAAGCGAAACTAGTGTTTCCTATACAGGGTGTCCCAAATTCAGTAATTACCATTGGGATAATGGGAAATATACAGGTATAATCACACAAAAAAGGCAACGCTGTTGTTGCGGGAGCGGGGAGTCTGATACATTCAAAACATGGATTTACTAAAATAGTTCTTGTTAGTGCTGACACTGACATAATGGTGTTAGCTTTGTTTCCCTGGGCTACTCTTCATTAAATTGGTGTTCATGCAGGAACTTTCGGTGCGCAATGGGGTTGGTGACTCCACGCATCTTTTGTCTGTTCATGATATTCTTTAAAAAATTAGCCAAAACTTATGGTCTTTGCTTCCAGCCACCCACGGTCTATTTGGATCAGATTACACGAGCAAGTTTGTTACCAAGTAGCTCTTTATAGTTTACTAGCTAAATACCCGGGGCTTCGCTCGCATGCCAAAATTCCAAACTTTTTAATATGGGATAGTTTTAACCCCATTGCATAACCCATTCGATTAAGTAAAAACTACACAAAAAATAAAATAAAATTGACGCATTCCGCCGCTTTTTAAAATATCAAATGCTTTTTGAAACAAAAATTATTTTGATTTTTAGTGGTTATTGAAGGAAATGTCCCTTCTGGTAAAATCTCTATACCCTAAAATCAGTTTGTGTGCCAAAATTCAGAAAAATCCTACGAAATTTTAAAAGGACGGGAAAAGAAGTGTTTTGTCGTTTTTCAAAATATGTATCTATCTTTTTTTAGATAAAAAATAATTTAATATATAGGGGATAAGTTCAACCCCTTGGAATTAGCATTTTGAAATATCCCTTCTGGTAAAACTCTATACTCTAAAATCAATCCGTGCCATAATTCAGAAAAATCTATACTTAGTCATTTTAAAAGTAGGGGGTAGCTTTCACTCTCTTGCACAAATCTTTCATTTAAGGGAAAAATGGTATTTTATATAGAAAAATTAAATAAAATGGACATGTTTCGCCGTTTTTCAAAATATCCAATGCTTTACGAAATAAAGAATATTTTAATGTTTATGGGGTAATTTCAATTCCTTGAAATTAGAATTTTTAAATATTCCTTCTAGTAAATACACTATACTATAAAATCAATGTGTGCCGAAATTCAGAAGAATCCATCGACATTTTTAAAAGCACAGGGTAGTTTTTTCACACCCTTACACAAATCTAACGTATCTAAAATAGTCTCTTATAAGAACAAAATAAATTTAAAAAATCCTATAACTCTAACTCGATATCTCTTTTAATAATAAAACTCTTAAAATAAGAAAACCTTAAACAGAAACAAAATCTAATAACAAATCTATGCCACGAATGAAAATAACAATTAGGTACCGGTATCAGCTAAGAATCCAATGAATTTTATAAAGTTCCAAAGTTTAAAAAGTACCAAGTATAATTTGAGTAGAGCCGAAAACGAAGCCGCAAAAATATAGCGCAGTGCCTTTAAAATATTCCTAAAAATCATAACAGGAATACAAAACACCGGCCATATCCACTATTTTTGTTTATAGATTAGATATACGATGATATGCGGATGTCTTGGCGTGGCGGTTGTGCACAAATAATTGATTTAGAGTTTATTACCAAATGGAGAATGTACTTGCCTTGAATCTTATCCCGGAATGATATACCTTCTCCATTTGGTAGTAAACCCGCAATAAATGTAAATTAATGTGACGAACGCCGCTCTATCTAGGAATCATCCACCTGTACTAATTCATTCGTTGAATAACTATCCTAATCTATAAACAAAGCCACTATCCAGCCGCTACGTGTATGTGTGTTGTTATAATAGTTTTAAAGACAGATGCGAGATGGCGCCCCAAGTACAGAACGGACGAAGTTGTTACATGGCCAGTGAAATACACTCATTTATGTGAATTTGTATATAGTCGTTTTATATAAAATACGTAATAAGGATTTACGGTAGTTGCTGATGACATCTGTGAATTGACTGCTTTAATTACAAAAAAGTCGCATCGTCAAGTAAGCCGAGAACAAAGTTGAAAAAGAAAAAACGCTTTGTTTTAAATATATAAAATAGATTAAATATATAGATAGTTCATCACGGAGTATTTGGAACACTGACGTATCACTGACTGGATGACGGAAGCCCAGAATAATACTTACTGCAGTTGTTACGAAAAAAGTCATCTTGTAAATCTTTAGATGAACTAGATTGTGGCTGATTCTTCAGTATAGACATTGAAGATTTCCGGGCGCAGAAGGCTCAGGCCATTTGCTCATATCATATTTCTACACCTATCTTTAGCAACACTATATTATTGATAATGTGGTTGTTGTGTACCAGATCACGTCCATTTTACTAGCAAATTAATTATTAACGAAAAGCGATTACAACCACACACAATAAAAAATTTTATGTAACGTATACACATATATATCTGAAAAAAGGCACAAAATACGTGCGTTAGTAAAGTAACTGTAATTAAAAACTGGGCTCTAAAAGCATTCCTTTAAACATTAAAATTGCGTTAACTGTAGTCTAGAGCACACTCTGGATCATTTAAAGCTGAAATTAAGCGGAGTGTTTAACTTTTCCCCTTATAAAAGTCATATTTTTCTAGGTTAATTTCTGCGCACAGATATACTTTATAAGGTGTTAAAAACATTTTCATGGCGGTAACATTCTTTTGTGTCAAATTTATTAACAAATATTCACAGGGTATTTTCATTGTTACTTGTTGTTTAGCAGTAAGTTAGTAATTTATTAAATCTTCGCTGATGGGTACTTATCACTGCAAATACAGAAAAAGGGAGGCCACACTCTTCTGCTACTTAAAAAACCGCCAGAGGTACCTTTTAGAGGGACTATCTCAAGGATACAACCTCTTATGGAAATGTTAGAAAATAATTTTCTATTTGAATGCATTAACATCGTTAAAAAGGACGTAACATATGAAGCTCAAAAATCATTGTTTATTTCAGTAGACGAAAGTAACAAATTTCTTCTGGAGGCATCAGATGCACCTCTTTATTGATAAAGGTACATATATTATGTATTCTTTCTGTCCATCCTCTTGTACGATCTTTTCCGATCGTTTAATATAAAAGGTGTCACAATAATATAATGTGGTTTCTAGATGGTTGCTATTTTTGCAATTATTGGTGGGTGCAAACGCAATGAATTGGTGAAGATTTGCATAGAAGACATAAAATGATCTACTGGTTCGTATTCCATACACAGAAACTACTTAGTAAGAAGCGATTTTTCACTAATTTGGTCGATGGTTATTGGGATCAACCCAATTGATTTGTAAAATTTGTATCGAAAGCACTCCAGTTTGCGTTCAAAGACGGTGAAATCCAGTCGATTATTTCTCACCTACTGACAGGGAAGATGTACCGTACAATCTGTGGGTATTAATAGCTTTGGGAAGATGTCAATAAATATTTTTTTCAAGTTAGAAAACCCAGAGACATTTTCTTTATATGGACATGCCGTTCGAAGATCATGCAGCTGCTACTTTGATGGCGGATTGTGGTGCTGTATTACTATCTTGAAGCAGTTTGGAGGATGGAAAAATGACAAGGTAGCTGAGGGCTATGTGGAGGTTTCTCTTCAGCAAAAAGTCAAGATTGTCTAAACAATTTCTACAATCTACAACTAGGACTACAATTCAAGTACCTACGAATTTTGGAAGGGTATAGACTTGTACTACTAATGCAACAGGAAATATTTATAACAGAACAGAAAACAGTAATGATGGATAGAAACCTGTATTATTTAGTATTGTTTTTGTATGCTGATTTTAATATAAATGTTTAGGTAAGCATTGAGTTTAATTAAAAAAAAATTTGTCCCAATTTTTTCCGTACCTATATTATATGGTTATTATACACACAAGTGAATAAA